CTTTTACCCCTCAAATGTTCCCCATGTTCCAACCATGCCAAGCTATGGTATCTCCATTCACTCACTATACTATATGTGCAGCCAGTGAACCCTATAATGATAATTGAATACATAAAAATAACTTTAAAAAATGCACAGATAACTTTTCACAAACTTTAAAACTCCTTTAATATAGACCAATAAACATGTCATTCATTTAGGCCGTTCAAAGCTTAATAGCAGAAACTGCAAACACTTGAAATCTCTTTGTCTTGTGTAAATAATTATTGTGCAATGGAAAGAAAAGATAAGAGAGCCAAAGCTGTCAAACAAGCAATGGGTTCCTTATACTTGGCTTTTTCAACAATCTTATGAATGTCTTGCAATAAAAGGTGTCTTTTTCAAATTATAAATGAATTTTATTTAGTTATTTTTAAAGGCATCCTATTGTCACTATAGGTTTCATTGGTTCTATAGAGTATATAGTGGGTGAATGGGTGTTGCAGTGCCATAGTTTAGCAGGAAGTTGGATGAAGATCCGTAGGCCCTAGCTTGGCATGACATGGCTTGAAAGAAGGGGACATTATGAACTTGGGGAGGGGATGGCCTAGTGGTATTTTTGCTGGACTATAACTTCAGAGACCCAGGCAAGGTCTTGGGGACCAAAGTTCGAATCCCGCATGGTAGATTTAAGTTTGAATTCAATGCTGAAAGTCTGGGATTAAGAGCCTAACAACAGCCATGAAACTATTGATTGTTGGAAAAAACATCTGGTTCACAAACATCCATAAGGGAAGGAAAGTGTCATCCTAGTCTGACCTACATGTGACTCCAGACCCACAGAAATGTACTTGACTTTACTGCCCTCTGTAATTGCCTAGCAAGCCACTCAGTTGTAGAAATCACTAGAAAGTCTCAAAGAGATGAAACTGAATGGACTGACTGGGATCAACCTTAGCACCAGAAACAAAAGCAGCAAAAATAGCTCCATCAACCCTGAGAAGTCCTCCGTATCTGGGGACCAGCATCGAAATAAGAGAGTTGTCTCACAGACTACTCAAGCTACAGCTTGACATAGTCACGCTCACAGAATCATTAACTTTTGTGAAATCTCCCAGAAAAGCAGGGCTTCATTTCCAGTGCACTACCTCGGTGAGGCCTGACATCTCATATCAGGAGATTTGTGGCATCTATTATTCCTTACCCAACTAGCAACCACTTGTCCTTTGTGTCTCTTCCAGTCTTCCCATTGTGACCCTTCTCAGCTATTCCATGATTCTTTCAATGTCCCCCTCCCTATGATTCTTTGAATCTAGTGGCAGCTGTCCCCCAGCACAGAGATCTCCAATTACCAGTAACATAGACCCGTTCTGATTTCTCCACATAGACCTCTTTACAGGTTCTCTAACCTCAAAATAGTTCTTCACTCCCTCCCCACATCCACATTCCCATGTAGCTGTAATATCTTTGAAAAGGAGAAAAGCCCAAGTGAAATTAATAAGTAGCTTTAGCAGGATGCCAAGGGTGCCTTTAAAAGCCTGTGATTTACAATGCACTGAGGAAGTATGAGAAACGTACACTTGTGAATTGAAAAGAAACACCAGTCATGATTTGACATGATTTTGATTCAAAGCTCAGATTGCTGTCTGCTATATTATGAAAGGACATTTGAACCCAAGCTCTGCTACAGTCAGTGTACACTTCCTTCACTGTATCCTGGTGATCATACTGAATGAAAATGTTAATTAATGCTATGCTTCAGGTCATTGCTCAGCCATCATCACAGGAGACTAGAGTTTATAAAGCCTTATGAAAATAAGCAGCTCTAAAGCATTTGGCACTCGCACCGATTCAGCAAATTAAGCCATAAGGAAGAACAATGATAAGTCTACATGCTTTTCTTGTTCCAATATTTTTGAATATTTCTGTGTAGAAGAAAAAATACAATGCAATGCTATCATTAAGGCTTCAATGATCTGATATTTAGATCCTCTCTAAACAGCCAATGGGAATGTTTATTCATTTGTTTTCCTGATAAAAAGCAAAGTTACCTACCTTGCCTTGACTGGAGTGTCATTTTGGAATGTTACTAAGGATGTTACTATGCCCAAACGTTTTAAAATTGAAAAACAGATCTTTACTAAATTTCAACCAATACATTAATGAGAGAATAAAAACTGAAAGAACTGTGGATGCTGTAAGCCAGGAACAAAATCAGAAGTTGCTAGAAAAGTTGAGCAGGTCTGGCAGCATCTGTGAAGAAAAAAATCAGTGTTAATGTTTCGGGTCCGGTGACCCTTCCTCAGAATGGGTTCTTAGGAAGGATCACCGGACCCGAAACATTAACTCAGTTTTTTTTTAACAGATGCTGCCAGACCTGCTGAGCTTTTCCAGAAACTTCTGATTTTGTTCCATTAATGAGAAAATATGGCTTTACTGATCCCAGACTAGAATATGGTAGTAAAAAACAGAAGTTGCTGGAAAAGCTCAGCAGGTCAGCAGCATCTGTGGAGAGAAATCAGAATTAACATTTCGGGTCAAGTGACGCTTCCTCAAATTATGACTACTTGGGTCAGATACTAAGGTATGCAACTGTGATGCTAACTACCATACAATCCCCAAGCACATTCCCACCCCATCCACATCCTCCTTCTCATGTCACACCCCCAATCCCACCCAAATACAACACTGCCATTTGGGGAAGTGGAATAAAAAGGGTTTTTCTTCCAGATCATATTGAAAATCTGGAGAAACAATGTTCAATCAGATTATATTTAAATAAAATTGGTAACCCTGCTGAAAAACACAAGAGGAAAATCATTAGTCAGGCCGCAGTTTCTTTAAGAAGCAAATACTTTTGAACTCTCTAGGAATCTTGTCTTTAAGGAATTATTGACCCTGGCAAGATAAGATTGGTAAAATCTCATAGGACTAAAATGAAAGTGACCAGACTATATTGTACTAATATTTTATTTATCATTGTTTAGGTGTGCAATCACTTGCTAATGAGTATGGATTGTCCACTTGGGAAATTCAGTGTGACTGGTCCTGGGTTCAGTGGGTCCCTGTGTGGCTGTTGAGCCCAATCCTAGAGCCCCATCTCCATCCACACATTGAGCAGGTGTTTCCGGGAGGTGGAAGTGATCCTTGGCCTTTATTGATACGCAACTTTCAAAAACACATCCTCACACTTACCAGTTTTGCTGTCCTGCTGGCAAACTGACCCTTTTATACTGGCAAGACAATGAAAGCACCAGCTAAATTGTCTTCTAACCTGCTATCACCAGAAATTACTGAGGTGGGTAGACAACATTTTGGAGGCACTCCAAAGTGATGAGTTTCAGCAAAAGTGTTTCATTTTGTTATTACGTCATTTATAGGCGTTCAGTTCTGTACATAAATGAAGCACGAAGCAATACATAAGATATACAGCACAGAAACAGGCTGTTCAGACCAACTATTCCCTGTCAGTGTTCATGCTCTACTTACACCTCCTCCCACGTCTCATCTGAATATTATCAATGGAACCCTCTGTTCCCCTCTCTATCGTTTGCATATCTAGTTCAATTTAAATGCATCAAATGGGACTAATTTATTTTGGGAAACTTAGTCAGCACAGACAGGTTGGGCCAAAGGGTCTGTTTCCATGCTAGATGACTCTATGACTATATGACTCTAGAATATAATTTGTTTCACTCATTCCCCGTGGGAGTCAGTTCCAACTTCTCATGGTTTCTTGGGTAAAGAAGTATCTTCTGAACTCCTTACTGGACTTTTTTGGTGACTGTCTTATAGTGATGGCCTCTAGTTATGTCATTCCCCACAAATGGAAACATTCCCTCTGCATCCATTGTCACAAGACTTTCCATAATTTTAAAGACCTATTAGGTCAAAGAGAGCCAGCCTACTAAGCATGTTCTAAATCCTGAGTCAATTATTCATCAGCCATGATTAATTCAGCTTCCATTCTGACTCACTGTTCCCTCTAACTCAGTCGTGGAGTCATAGTGTCATAGTACGGAATCAGACTCTTCCATCCAAATCGTCGGAACTGACCAGACATCTCAAAGTGACTTAGTCCCATTTGCCAGCATTTGGCTCATATCCTTCTAAACCCCACATATGCATGTACCCACGCAGATGCCTTTGAAATGTTGTAATTATACCAGCCCCAACCACATCCTCCGGAAGCTCATTCCATACACGCACCACCTTCTGCATGGAAAAGTTACCCCTCAGGTCCTCTTTAAATCTTTCCCCTCTTACCTTAAACCTATGCTCTCTAGCTTTGGAATCCTCACACCCTAGGAAAAAGACTTTGGCTATTCACCCTATCCATGCCCCTCATTATTTTATAAACCTCTATAAGGTCACCCCTCAGTCTCTGACACTCCAGAGAAAAAAAGCTCCAGCCTCTTCAATCTCTCCCTATATCTCAAACCCTCCAAACCCAGCAACATGTTTTTAAATCTTTTCTGCGCTCTCTCAAGTTTAACAACATCTTTCCTATAGAAAAGTGACCAGAATTGAATGCAGTATTCTAAAAATGGCCTCACCAATGTTCTATAAAGCTGCAACATGACATCCCAACTCCCAAACTCAATGATCTGACCAATGAAGACAAGTGTGCCAAATGCCTTTTTCACCACCCTGTCTACCTGCTACTCCTCTTTCAAAGGACTATGCACCTGCACCCCTAGGTCTCTTTGTTAAGCAACACTCCCCACAGCCCTACCATTAACCATACAAGTCCGGCCCTAGTTTGCCTAACCAAAATGCTACACCTCACATTTATCTAAATTAAATTCTATCTGCCACTCCTCGCTTCATTGGCCTATCTGACCAAGGTCCTGTGGTACTCTGAGATAATCTTCTTCAAGTTCATGTTTAATTAATTCTGGTTGTGATCTTCTCTCATCAAAAACAGTAAACATTGATTCATTCAATTGGAGACCAGCACTTGCAAATGCTGTGTTTCTCGTAGGCTCCTTGATTAACTTTATTTACTGTTAAGGACTAACCTTCTGTGTAAGATCACTGGCTTCGTTGATGTATCGGTCCCTTTCTTTTTCCAGATGGTAGATAATTTTCCGCTGTTTCTGCGCCTCATTGTTATAATTTTGAATTTCCTGTTCAAGGACCTTTTTGGATTGCTCATGTAGTTTGACCAAGTTTGATTGCTTCTCAGTTGCACTAACTGCCTTCAGCATGTTCTAGGAAAAAAGAAAACATAGTGTCACTTTACTACACACTCATGGAAAGATTTAACGAGGCAAAAGGTCCACTTTGATATAGATAGAGATCTCAAACTAAAAGCCATGAATGTTAAAAGTGATGTGTTGCTTTGAAATGAGAACCCCAGCCTTTCTGAACTGTACAGCCTTGTAGGTTTTCTACCTAAGCTAGATCCAATGCTCAAAACAAATAAGTGTTTTTTTGTTTTACCAATTGACCCATGAGAGGTTTCCAGATCATTTGATTTTAGATCATTTTGTTTCATTTGCTTAACCTAAAGCAATTTATATCCAAAATTTTCTTTAACAATTCACATAGAAAAACCATCTAAAAACTTTCAGACTCTAGCCTTAAAGACAACAATATAAATCTATATAAATAGTAATTGACTGTCTACATTAAGAGTCATATGTCAGTTTGCTTATGTCAACTTAGCCATTCTAACTTCCTTTGTCTACATTGGCTAGAAGATGCCTGCACAAATTTTCCAGACTGTTGCTAAATACTCCTGCTTCTGAAAGATGTTGCAGTGCCATCACTGGGAGTAATGTATAATTCGAGTGTGACATGTGTTACGAAGTCATGTAGAGTAATCATGAATTGGAATGGAGGAAGCTAGAATTTGTTTGTTAAAAAAAAAATGAGGGAGAAGAGTACATGGTTCTTTTAAGAGGTTAAGTGCTTTTCTAAGCTTAGAGATTTATACAGAAAAGAAAATGTGTCTATATGTAGCTGAAGATGTAGCCAGTTCTGAAATGGAAACATGTATCAACTGGCTGTGTGATTGGAAACCTTGGGCTTGTTTTGATGCCTTGGTAATGAGCTTGAATCAGCCAATTAATTTAAACCAAGCACTTAGTGATTGTAAGCCAATTGAATTTAAATCTGATGGTTTTGATAACCTCAGACCAATGCCATTGTAAGAAAATTGATTTGCTATCCAAGGTATAAAAGGAGAGGGTTTTTGAAAATTGGTGAGAGCAAACCACAATCTGGGAAATAAGCATCTAGCTCACACAAGAAATCGCTAAGCTCTCTTTTAGAAAGCACCATCTATCCATTAAAGGTACCACATCACTTGCAGCTAAGAGTCCTCACAGAAGACTTTACAGAGGAGACATCCATTATAGCTGGATCAGCGGAAGAAAGGTGTTTATGACTTGAGAAAGCACAAGAGAGGCATGTAGACTTTGAGAGAATAAGTTTTAATTTTTCTAATTACTTGGGCTTATATAAGTGGGATTTGTGTTTATTGGAACAGCATACCAGTCGAATTTAGTTCAGATAGGGAATAGTTAGTAGTTAAGCGGGAATTGTTCGGTTTGTTAGTAATTCTGTTAATTTGTTCACTGTTAGGGTTAAATAAATAAATTGTTACTTGTTATTTATAAAGTGATTCTCAGGGATTTTCTTTCATTTAACCTCCCCTTCTGTAACAATTTAGGGGTTCAAAGATTAGGCGAGATGAGGCAAGCTTCTCCAGGTGTTTTGGGTTTAATTATTAGCAGGGGACTTCTACTCCCACTGTAACAAATTGGGGGCTTGTGTTTCGATTTTAATCATTACAGGGGTTCGACCTCCCCTTCCTAACACATGTTAGCATAAGCAGGTTTCGTTACAAACATAGACATAGGAATTTCAACGGAAATACACAACAATAACTTAAAAATACAGCCTAAATTATATTTGAGAGTTCTGTTTCAATTTCCTCTCATCTACGAACCTCTCTTCACTTTAAAATGACATTAAGTTTCAACTCTCCATGAGCAATGATATTAGCCAGGTATAAAATTCTCACACTAGCATGTACTGTGTGACAATTTTACCATTGTGAATTCCAATGTGCTCATTTAGAATGAAAACTGTCTTCATAATATCATCAGAGTTTTACTATACCTGCCCAATAATAATATAAAAGCATATGTTTAAATTGAAAATAGCAAAGTTTGTGCAGGATTGATGCCAGAGTTCTCAATCACTCACAGCATCACCTACACAGCACAATGATGAATTAAGATTTCCTACTTTGGGAAAGATTTTTCATTCATGGAATGGAATTATTCTAACTCTTTACAGGATCACAATTGAAGTTGGTCAAGCGCACTGCCTTTCTTTAGTTCTGCTCTACACTGGTCACAATGTATAACCATAAATGTTTTACCCAGATATCAATATGACTAATTATATATGTTAACGCATCCATTTCAGAATTCAAAGACTACCACCAAAACTATGGCTTATAAATCAAAACATATTCAATAAAGTTGAAAAACTTATTAACTTACAATTTGAAATGTGACAGTACAAACATACACCCTTGTAAATAACCTGACAGGCTAGTTAAAGAGAGAAAACAATTCTGTGCAGATATTGAGACAACAAGGTGCAGGGCTGGATGAACACAGCAGGCCAAGCAGCA